CTTGCTTTTTCCTTGTGACAACATGGCCAAACTGATGCCATACAGCTTTCAATCTGCATCCCCTGGTGCCATGCCTAAGTTCTCTTTATCCCTTACTCTTGATGCCAACTGAGTATGAGCATATAAACCTTGCCTGTGTTTCTCACGTCTAGGGAATACAGACTGAAATGATGATATCCAACATTTCAAACAAAAGATTCATTGCTGATGACATGTACTATGAGAACAGGTCTACAATCTCAATGTTAACATTGAAGCTGTATGGGCATTCATCTTGCTATTATTCCATAACCAATTGTACTGTATAGTTTTATGTCAACTTGACGAAAGCCAGAGTTATCTGAAAGGTGAGAACCTCAAGTGAGTAAATGCCTCTAAGCTTCTGAGAACAAGTGGGTCTCTGACTCTTGTGCCTGCTCTTGGGAACTTTTTTCCTCTTGTTGGGTTGCCGTGTCCAACTTCAATATGATAGTTTTTGCTTTGTCTTATTATGTTTTATTTTTGTCAGATTTGGTTCTTATCTCCTGAAGCCTGTTCTTTTTAATGAGAGACAGAAAGAGAATTGACCCACAGGGAAGGGGAGATGGGGAGTAACTGGGAGGAGTAGAAAGAGGGAAAACTATAATCAGGATATACTTTATGAGAAAAGAATCTATTTTCAATAAAAGAAGAAAATGAAAAGAAAAACGTCTCCAAAAGTCCAGCTGTAGGATATTTCCTTAATTGGTGGTTAACAGAGGAGGGCCCAGGCACTGGGAGGTGGGGGCATCTCTGGGCTGCTGGTCCTGGGTTCTATAAGAAAGCAGGCTGAGCAAACAATGAGAAGCAAGCCAGCAAGCCGTGCCCCTTCATGGCCACTGCAGCAGCTCCTGTTGACAGCTTCCTGCCCTGTTGGAGTTTCTGCCCTGACTTACTTTGACAATGAACTGTGATGTGGAAGTATAAGCCAAATAAATCATTTCTTCCACAAGCTGCTTTAGTCACGGTGTTTCGTCACAGCAATAGTAGCCCTGACTAACGCACCAACACAGCATAATAACTCTATAACTTTACACTGTGTTTAGTACTCTAAGCAATATGGAGGTGATTGCGCATACAGAAGGATGTATAAGTTACATGTAAATCCTTCACCACCTAAGGGACTTCATATACATCTTCTAGTTGAAGTATCCTCAAGAAGTCCTGGGACCAAAGCCTAAGGATACAGATAGGCAACTGTGTCCCATCCTCACGAACTGATTCTAATGATTACTCACCATCATTGGGACCCCTTTGACCAATGATATCCTTTAATTTTGTAGGGTTGGAAAGGGGCAGAATAATACTGTGTTCAATTTAGTCAGTTTGTCTAAGTCTAGAACCTACAATGTGACACTGAGTGATGTCACTGAGCCTCTTTGAGTCTCATTCCCCTACCTGTATCAATAAGATCTCAGTGGGATTAAAGATAAAAGCCCAGGGAAGACTTCTGGGGTACCTGTGAAAGCTGAACAGCTTACATGATATCCCCAGGTTTCAGTTCACTCGTGTATGAAATGAAAATAGTAATGCAACCTACTTCACAGGTTTGCTTTGAGAAGCTGGTGGTATCATTTATGCACAGTACTTGCAAAGCTTTCTTTCTTTCTTTCTTTCTTTCTTTCTTTCTTTCTTTCGTTAGTTAGTTAGTTATTTTTGGTGGGCAGGGGGAGGGGATGACAGAATTCCTCTATGTAACCCTGGCTGTCCTGAAACTCTCTGTAGACCAGGCTGGCCTCAAACTCAAAGATTCACCTGCCTCCAAAATCCTGGAATTAAAGGAATATGCCACCTTGCCAGGCTTATTTGTAAAGTTCTTGATCTATTGTTAGCGTCTCTAAAAAGGAGTAATACCTCCCCCAACAACAACAACAACAACAAAAAATGGTTGTAAAGATTACCTGTTTTTTTCAGGTAGCTGACGTCATGATCTGGATTTCATCTGCGCACCTGGACTGTTGTAAAATAGGGTATAACAATAGAGGCCTTTTTCTAGTGAAAATCATTATCATTTGTGTTTGATTGCTTTTCCCTCCCATGCTGGGAGAAGGTTCACTCATTACCTTTTGAGCCCAGAGAGTTGACTCTCCAGACTGCATCCCATTCCTGCCCCTTCCCAACAAGCTAGTTGTTTCTGCTTCTTTATTCTCCACGCCTTGCTTTCACTGGCCCTGGCAGGAGACAGAGGCTCACCAAACAAGGCTGCTTCCCGCCCTTCCTCAGGTACTAATTTGAAAGACATTATCCAAAGTCCCAAATCTGAGGAGAGGCTCTTGGTTAAGAAAGGGAGGACAGGCACAAAATGACCTTTAAGAAAAAATAAGGAAATAGAAAATGGACGTGGAAACAGTGCCAACATAAGGACCCGTTACAGAAAATGTTATAGATTGGTGTGTAAAATGCTAGGCTATTAGACTCATCACAGATTCCATTACTAGTGATGTGAGAGCCAACAGCTGCCTTTCCCTGCAACAGCTTACTGAAACGGGAGGATACCGCACCAGGCTCAGCTCAGAAGACAGAGCCAGGATCTCGGGCAACATCCTGAGAACAGCTATCTTTCACTTGTGCTAAAGTTGGGCCTCAGTATATCTGACTAACCCAAACCAAAAACAAAGCAAGATCGCTGGGATCCAAGGCCGTCATGAGGCAGCAGATACAGCCTCAAGGCAGCCAAAGCAAACACCTGCGTCTGGGCTGACCCCATTCGGTCCCCATCACCACACTGAGCTCACTCAGAAGGTCTCCACAGGTATTCTTCCCCAAGATGTCCCCCTTGGGGGATTTATAATTGCCATGAAACATCGTCATTCATACAATTAATGGTTTATTCCAGACACCGCACTGATCACTACTGTTCAGCTGAATTAAAGGTTGCCTGTTACCAAGAGACTCACAGCCGTCTCTCCAGTTAATTATCGTCTCTCAGGCACTTGCCGGGAAGTCAATATCAACGGACGTTGCTGTGGGCTTGCCATTGTTTACCACAAATTGCAAGGCGCCGTGGCTCCCTCATCCCTGTCACTGTCACCATCATCATCGCCTTTCTCAATATGGGTTGAAGGCCTGCTCGAGCACATGCCATGCCACTAAGCACTCTGACGTGCCCCACAGCACAGCTTGACAAAGAAAATAGCCCATAGCACTCCTGCTACCGTTCTAATACAGTCTCTTGATGTACTAATTACCTTTGCTCCATTTCAAAACCTGATAGCAGAGAAATACAGGCATCAGCAAAGTCACCTTTTGCTAGGGAACATCTCCTTTGACATCCGTCACAGATGGGCTCTCCCAATAGCCACTGGATAAATAAAGACATAAATGATGTCCAAAGCAAGAATATCCAATGAGATCTGAGGCACCAGATCAACAAAGAGACACAAACAAACAGAAACCATAACTTGTGGCTCTCCTTTTTCAAAAAAGATTTATTTTATTTTTAATTATGTAAATGTTTGTGTGTGGGTATATGAGCATGAATACAGGTGTCCATGAGGTCAAGGGCATCAGATCATCCCCTGGAGCTGGAGTCACAGGTAGTTGTGAGCCATCTGAGTGCTGAGAACTGAACTGGGGTCCTCTGCAAGAGCCGTGCCTTCTCATAGCCTCTGAGCTAGCACTGCACCCACAGCTCATGTCTCTTCAGTGGTGATTAGAGATATGGGCTCCTCATCCATTTAACACTGTATCCAAGGAAAATCATCACTTTTTTCTCTCTTAAAAAAGAAAAAAAAAAAGGAAGGAAGGAGGAGGAAGAAAGGAAAAAAATAAGAATGAGAAAGGAAGGAAAGAAGGAAGGAAGAAAGGAAGGAAGGAAGGAAGGAAGGAAGGAAGGAAGGAAGGAAGGAAG